TTCTTTACTGATCCACTATGTATACTTACTCTTTTGCTGTAATAAATCTTAGCCATGAGTACGACTATATGCTGAGTCTCTTGAGTCCTTCTAATGAAGTACCAAACATGTCATGGGAGTGCTGATTTCAGAAGTGGTGATGCAAACATCCACTTACAGCTAACAGAACTCTTTCAACCACTCTATACTCCTGGCCAGTACATAGACAGATAGGTAGATAGATAGATACTTTGCTTCTCCTAAAATAAATTATAGAATCAAACTGAAGACCGAAGAGACAAGTAAGAAACCATATTTAAAATGGAACAAAGCATACAGAAAATCTGGAGGTGAGCAACATTAATTTCACAGGAACTCTGAAAAACCTATTAAGTCTTATAGGATAGTCATTTCTAAAATCAAAAATGTGTGCTAAGTGCCCAGATTCTCAATGGTTGCTGCTTTTTCTATTCAAACATAATTTACATTTTGCAAGATGAGTTTTTCTCTACTTTTGAGACCTACCTCCCCTGAAGACAGCAGGTTGTTAAGGTATTCTAGAAATGCTTCATCTTTTATGTCATTGTCAGTAAAGATGAAGGTGATGCCTTTTCCATCGGCACCAGCAACTTTGTACAAAGATTTTAAGTCCTCTGTTAGATTATTCACGTTGTAAGACCTAAAAAAAAAGTGGTAGAAAATTAAAAATTAAAAAATATGTAGTCATAATTTATCTCAAAACACAATAATAACTCATGACAATTACAGCATAACCTGTACCTGCTCCATCAGATATTAATAGTGCCTGTTAGAAAACACAGATTAGAGCTAAAGAGCTATATGTTACCATTCAAAACAAATATGTTTTATTTAACCTGAGAAGTGAGAAATAGGGAATTTACCAGAAGGTATCCATGAAGCATAACTGGGAATAGCAAAATGAATTTTTGTCCCTGCAATCTGGCAGTTGTCAGCTGCAGATTTCACCAAGTGAATATATGTATGATATCTAAAAACCAATCTGAAATTTGGATGGGTTTGGTTTGGTGAAAGAAAGCCACAATGAATTATGAACAAAATTAGTGGTAAGTTATACATAGTGGTAATTTGTGCAGCTCACTAAGTGGCTAGACACAAAGGAAGCGTACAGAAAAAGGTGCATTAAGCAATGTCATGTAAACAACAGAAATGTTGTAATTAGTTGGCTACAGATTATGACAAGAGAAGACTTCAGTTTTTGTTTTTCTGTTTATTCTGTTTCCTGCTAAATGTACAAGGTATTTCAAAATGTTCAAGGAAAGATTCATATTATTTTTCAATTCTATTTTTCCACGAACTTTTTGAATACCTGAGTATGTGCTACCAGAGGTGATGGGATGTGTAAAAATAAAGCAGACATTTTCTGGTGTTGTATATAAATCCTCATGGGGGAAGTTAATGACAAGGGCTACAAGGAAACCCTCAATTGAAGGAGGTGTTAAAGGGCACGTAATATGGAGTCTAGCGTGAGCCACAGGATCTAATAGAAAGACTATGGGCACTGGAACCAGACAGACCCAGGTTCAAACCCCTGCTCTGCAACTTGAGAAAAGTTCCTTCACATTTCTCCATTTTTGTTTCCTCATCTGCAAAATGAAGATAATATCTAATTATAAATATTGTTGTGCACATTAGAGATGATGTAACTGAAGGGTACTTAAAGGAATAAATAGCTTATTTTATTTATTTTTGTTTTAAATAGAATGTTTTATTTTTATTTTTATTTTT